TATAGAACAGTGAGCTGGATACTAGTAAGTATTTAAAGATTTTTAAAATTGTTTGTTTAAATGAGGTATTTGTTCGGACTTGCATGAATTGTATGGATTAGAATACAGATACGCTTTAGAAAACAACCAAAAAGCGGGTCCTGTTCTCAGGCTAGAAAAGAAAGTTTGCTACTGCACCTTCAATGCAGAAAACACATGACTGACTGTGGAATTCAGTACCCTGTAGGCAAAGTAATCAGATTCACCAATCATCGATTATAAACTGCACATGCATCTGAATTAGAAGTTTCTCAAAACTCTGATGCTCGTTGTTGGTTCATTACGACTTTTTAAAAACTTTTTTTTAACTTATTGAGGAATCTGAGAGGCAATACATGTACTATTCTATGTAAATTATTGAAATATATTTGCGATTTTAATATGTTTTGGATAACAAGAAAAAATGGCTATTATATTTTCATCTTTCAGAGAGAGAGAGAGAGAGAGAGAGAGAATTTTGTCGGTTTTTCTTTTATTAAAAATCTTGTTTATTTTGCATTTTTCTACATGAGAAAAATTCCAGGATCCAGACATTCAAACAAAATTTAAAATCAATAAGCCGAAAGAGAGACTAAATATATGTTTTTTAAAATATTACAGTGCAATTATTATCATCATTTGTTAGCATTGTCATTTAACACTGTTTGTTCTCCAATCATTTTATTAGAGGTAAAAGTCCTCAAACATCCATTACATTTATCACTTTAAAACTATATGAATTTTCCATCAAAGCGTTACTATTTACTTTCGTTAATTCAAAGCGCTTGATATTGAAAGGATATTGAACAGATATACATGTATATATTTCAATTTTTTAAGGGCCTTGAGGTCATGAATTATATTTTAATTACAAGACATTTTATATTTGACTCGCTATTACCTTTTCCCAATAAACAATTAGGTTCCCACGCAATTTGCATTAACTTTACTATGTGTACCTGAAACGTTAAATAAATTATTCGGAGAAACTAAACCATATTGGATGCTCAGAACTAGTTTTTGTAATTTTTAGCCGATATTTTATATTCAAATGAAGCAGAGTCCATAAGAAATCTTAAACTTGAGAAGTAAACTTGCTGTAGCCTTCAACTCGACATTTAGATATATCGACAAAGATTATCAATTTACAATACTTACAACCATCTATATGCCGACTATATCAAAGTAAGCTTCAAATAAATGATACCACAGAGTCTGACACTTCTGTTCCATATTTTGTTATTTTACTAGTTAAGACGTTAATTGTGACCTAAAAACAAGTTTCATGAAAAACAAAATGACTTCAATTTTTCCATAGTCGACTTCCATTACTTATTTAGCAATGTACCCTTATCACTGGTATATGTGGTTTTGTATCCCAGTTGAATAGGTACACCAGAGAATGTTCTACATTCGAACACTTTCTAAAACAAGGCAATCTTTCAACAGACAATTTAAAATTGGTGAAAGTTTGATTAAAGTTATCTTTTCGTAAGTTCTGTGGTCGATGCAATGACATTGTCAGCAAATTCTTAAGTCGAATACTGACTGACGTTTTTTAAACTAATTGTTAGGCCATTATTTACATACTGAGTTGTCTCCGTTTTTTCTGTTTTTCATATCATGACAAGGAGCACACCGATGGGCAGGGATTCTTACTGATCCATGGCACCTAATCCCATCTCTGATGTTTTAGATTTTGCTCTGCTCCAGATGATTTGTATTGTTTGAATGTACTTTTGAGATTGAATACTGTTCGTTTACTCTCCATTTTTCATGTTTCCAAAATCCTTCGGCAAAGTTATAAACATATAACCAATAGTACCATGCTCAGTCATAAAAACTCCTTTCATTTTACCATATTTGAAGCAGAAGTCTAGCACTGCATTTCCTATAGGGTTGGTATTCCCCGACCATTACATCCAAAAGTTTCATATCTAAACGAACTTTACAGTACATAAGTAGATATTGACCATTTAAGTTACTGGTAATATAAATGATTCCAATATAAATATAGCTCTAAATGACGAACTGTCGTTTAATATATCCTAAACTTAGGGAACATAATTATCTCAAAAGGCATCAGGAGACCATTTCTTTTTATGAATTCTGTTTAGGAGTAAGCTAGACAATTGGCTAAATATGAAAGGAAAAACCTTGACAATGTTAAGAAAAAATTAAAGTGCAAAACGCAAACTATTTATCCGTTTTCAGTAGCTCGGAAGTGATAAAAATAAGAAACACTTATTGTAAAGTATGTTTTGGTTCCAGGTGACAAATAATCTTTGTTTGTAATGCTCATCATGAAAATTGCATTTTATCAGTTCAGTTTCAAGATGTGGGACATAGGAGGAGAAAGAACACCCTGGTATCTCCTGTTGACCTGTCACATCCGCCGTGAGCCCTATGTATTGATTCTGTTGATGGATTATTCTGTAGTCAAAGTTAGTACAAAAAATCAAGGCCGAACAGTTTCTATGATACACGTCAGCCGAAACACACCTTAGTGTGTTTTTACTAAGGGAAGGATATGAAGATAACGAACAGTATTCAATCTCAAAGTCCATAAAACAATACAAAATAAGAGCAGAGCAAACACGGACCTCCGAAACATCAGAGGTGGGATCAGGTGCCATGGAGGAGTAAGCATCCCCTGCTGACCGGTCACACCCGCCGTGTGCTCTTTGTCATGATCAGGAAATAACGGGAAAATCCGTCGTCAATTCATTGTATAAATAATGGAATAACAATTAGCATGAAAAACGTCAGTCAACATTTGACTCAATGATAAATTGTATTTGCTGACAAGGTCATTGAATCGACCTTAGAATTTACGAAATGATGACTTTAAACTGGACGGCTGATATTCTCGTTTCACCAACTTGCTTGTCAATAATTTACCTCGTTTTAGAAATTGTTCATACGTAGAGCAAGCTCTTGCGCATCGAATCAACTGAGATATATCAATCCGTATGCAGGTGACGAAGGTATATTGCTGCATAAGTAAGGGAAGATGACGATAGAAAAATTAGAGTCATCACGTTTATCATACAGCTTGGTTGTTAGATTAACATTAATGTCTTTTTCAAGTAAAATATCCTAGTATGAAACAGATGTGTCAGACTCTGTGGTATCTTTTATCTCAAGCTCACCAGGATATATCGTATCGACGTAGGAATGGAAATCATTGTTAATTTACAATTGACAAGTGTTTTCTTTTTTTCACGCATAAGATTTTGCACAAATTATCTTCATGTGAATATAAAAATAGGTCCGCTAATAACAGAGCGCAATTGGTACCCATGGGAATTCCAATAGATTGTTGGAATATCTGATCTCCAAAAACCACGTAGGTATTGTCAATCAGAAACTCAAGCATCTCTTTGATGTCAACTTCAGAGTACTTGAGTGTGCAATCAGAATCTGTTTTAACAAAATAATTTTGCAAATATCCAATGACAAAGTAAGTAAATTTACGAGTTCCATTTTTATTGAAAAAGCAGCTGTCAATGATATCAAAAAGCCTGGACTTTAATTTATCGTGGGGAATGGTTGTATATAAAGTTGAAAAGTCGTAAGTTTTTAAGTTGTTGATTTTTGTAAAATCTTGTGATTTCAAATTGTCCAAAAGTTCTTTGGAATTTTTGAGTATCCACATCTGATTCACACCACTTCTTGAATATATTGTTGCACAGTACTCCTGAAGTTTTTCCTTCACTACTGTCAATATCTTATCTTACTAAATAAGGTGATATTTATACCCCCCGCTTGAAAAGCGAGAGGGTATATAGTGATCGGGATTTCCGTCCGTCCGTCTGTCTGTTACGCTTTTTCTCTTATCCGCAACTCCTCATATACTACTGAGTGAAATTTAATGAAACTTTCACAGAATCTTTATTACATATTGCCATCGTGCACCTCCTATTTTACTTTTTTATTCGACATATATTCCCAGAGCAAAACATGGACATTGCCAATATATTATATATTTATATCCTATGACGTAACCTATAGAAGCTTCTGGATAACATTTGATAGTACGAGTTATTCCTCTTTACACATTACCGTAAAACAATATATAGCAACACATCATTATCCATGTAGCTCATTGCTCACAATGTATTTCAATAACACATGGATATCACTTCGACATATATTTGGAAATAAGCATTTTTAGCACGTCATCCATGTATCTGAATGTCGAGTTGAAGGCCAAGCAAGATGTTAGGTCATTGCTTTTTAACTAAATTTGACTTCGGATTACTTCACCTACCTGATCTATATGTGAGATTGGCGGCAGGTGTGACCGGTCAACAGGGGATGTTTAAATCTTCCATGCACCTGATCCTACCTCTGATGTTTCCAGTGTCCGTTTTTTCCTTATTCACGATTCGTTTTGTTTACTGGATTTATAAGATGGATGGCTCTTCTTCATTCTCTATCCAGAATTATCTTCCGCTACGCTCACAACACCTCTGTCAACGCTCGTTGTACAAGATTCTTGTACAAATTTTAAACAGCGAAAAATCGAAATTTAAATGATAATTAATTATTGTAAATATTGACAAAGATAATAATTCATCATTTATTTTAAATCTATAATCACTCAGAACGACTTATTTTCAAAGATTTTAGGGAACTATTTTGCAGAGTAAAAATTAAAATCTTAATTAAAAAATCCTTTTAAGATGTAACAAATTGAAATAAATAATCTTTTCCGATAAGAAATATAATTAATTCCAAAAATCTAGTATAACAAGCGTTGACAGAGGTGTATGTGGGAGAGAAGCGGGAACGACAACTCTGGATAGAGATGGTGCTCTTCTTATCTTTACTTCTTGGTTATGTTATCGTTATGACAAACTTTAAAATTTATTCAATTGTATCTTGAAAATAAAAAGATGCATTTATTTTATCAACATATTTATAATATACTTGTGTTTTAAATACATAGTACTTTTCCTAATCTTGACACCGATTTCATTATACATGTAGTTTTCTTCGAATTTCACCTAAAGTCAAATATATGGAGATAACGAACAGTATTCAAGCTCAAAAATCCATTAAACAAAACAATAAAATAAAGGCATTGTGAGTTTTATATGAAAACTATATTTTATTGCCAATTTATTTGATAAGCATATCCCCAGCGCTTTGTCGCATTAATCGTCGGTTTCAAGAGCGTATTGTCACAAAGAACCTAATTTCCCAACAGAAAGTAGTCTATAGACACTTGACTACAAAATAAAGAATAATCTCTTAACAACGTGCATTATCCTGCCAAGTTTTAATATCACTTTTCATTTCAATACTAATTTACATTTTTTGGTAAGTATGTTTTCACAAAGTTTTGGCTCTTAATGAAAAAAATTTGCTGTTCAGTTTACCATTGTGTTATTCTGGAAATATAAATTATGGGCCACCGAAGAGAATCCATTGAAACGAGACGTTTATAAATCGTTTGAATTGATAACATAACCCCCGCGTAATCAGTTATTTGTCAAGCAGAGTTAAAATCTTTTGATGTTTGGATTGTCAAAACCGCTCTATGAAAATACACTAGTACTTCCACTCAATGGACCACCACATGTTTATTCCATGTTCAAGTTCTATCAGACGATCAGGTTTTTTTCATCTTTCATTTCCTCTTTAGGTTGACGGGTTATCAAAATAGATAATTTTGCAGACAGTTCTTATTTCGGAAGAATTTTTCGAATGCACGAAATAAGTTCAAACAAGAGTTAAACTGAATATTCCAGCATAAAGTAAATTTGAAATATATATTAGCATAATTTAAAACCTGCTTTTGTTTAAGCGGTTGTTTGCTCTCGTTGAATATTGTTAATATTGCTGGTTTGTTTGTTTGTTCTGTATACTTCAACTGACCTAGCCCTATTCATAACCGATATCTTGTCTCTTTGCAAAAGTGCTGTTGATTGTCGCCATATCTTGCTCGGTTTGGAAGACGGTCGGATGGGAGGCCTGCCCAAACCAAATTTATTGTACGTTTTCTCTATCACATAATCTGGAAACCACATGGTTCTTTCCGTATTCAAAGTCAACATCGTGTTTTGTTTTGAGAAAGATGGAGTTGAGGCGTTAAGTCTAGGTAACTGTACCGTACTCATTTTTGTGGGCGACACAGTATGGAAAGTTAGTCCGCGCCGAATCTTAGGTCTTCTTGGTGTTAAATTCTGTGTTGGCGACTTTTGCAAAATGTTGTTGGCTTTCTCAGCTAATGTTTTGGATTCTTTTACACTGTGATCTGTTGTTTCTGCTTTCTCTACTGCTGCATTCTTCCGAACGTATGCACTTAGACGTTCATTAAAGCGTTTATCGCGTATTCTAGGGATCGCTTTGGTTGATGCATCGATAGAAAGTTTAACCACATTGACATTTGCATTATTATCCCTTTCTATACTGTTCTGGTTGGAGTCTCCACCTCTAGAAACATCATCTCTCAGTTGCTCTAGACTTTCACCAAAGAAGCCATGAAAATATGGTTTCCTGTCTAAAAACAAATGTCTGTCTCTCTTCACATCTTCACTGAATTTGTAAATATGTTCAAGAGTGAAAACTGGTGAAGGCGGAGGAAATTTTCTCGGATCAACAATCGTTCCATCAGCACGAGGAATAAAAACGTTAATATACCCGTTTCCGTAATCAAATTCTGTTGTTGTTTTCCCTTCGGACATTCTGATTTAATTCAGTAGACCCGATAACTTTATCCAAAGTTTCATTTTGAGAGTTAATCACACATGGCAAAATCAAACAAAATGTTTTGTAAATCTCTTTTTCTCCCAAATTGTAAATATTGGCTCAGAAAAGAACACCGCTTTGAATTTCTTCACAAACTGAAATTTAACGACGTTTTACGAAGGAGAATATTTTTAGAACCTCTCCAACTTTGTTAAATCCAGTTCTACAAAAAAATCACGTCACGCATTAACACAAATAGTTTTTATTCTTTAAAAGTTGATACATATAAACCAAAATTTAAAGATCAGATGAACAGGACACGCAAAACGCTAAGTTACCGAAAATTAACATATCCTTTAACTGTTACCATTCATCGACTTCGTGTCCAGAACGCATATATACCTCCCCTCCACTTAACAGAGTTATTTAAATTTTATACAAAGAATCAGTAATCTTCAGCTGAAAAGACTTTTGAGGGACAATAAAAGATCACCAGTGATAAACTGTATACATTAATTATCGTCATCGATCTGCAGAATGACTAGGAGATTTTAATACACGATTTGAATGCACAAATAAAGGGATAAAGGCCTTTTTGCATCCGACATACATTCTTTTGTCCTGGTGTGTTAGCATAACCCCGGTCACTTGAGTGTCCTTTATCAGGGGAATATCTCATCTAATCTACGAAGCCCCTTGTACCCTGTCAAATTGAAAATATCAAAATATTATAATAACTACCTGGAGTGCGTGGTAAATTTAATAGATTCCTATATATGTAACATATTTATGGCTATCCAAAGATTTGAACATACTGCGCTTACAGTGGCACCCCCAGATAGTTCCACAGATGATTATCTTGTCACTTTTTTTAAAAAATAGACCAGGATGTAAAAAAAAAAAAGCACACAGCTCCTGAAATTAGATTTAAACAGATATTTCTGTGAACATATAAATGACATATTCTTTTCTTTGTCACCTCTAGTATCTGAGAACTGTGACTTTCTCGGAAATAAAATTATAAAATTCCGATATGTCTGTACGATTTTCATTTTTCAGAAAGCAGCACCTCTACGTGTGTCTTTTGAGTTGATTTTCATGGAAATCGTCGCATTGATGATCAATTAATTTTGATTTTTTTAATTGGTCTTCTTATAGAGCTAGGTGAATATTTTTGCATTCTTATTATCAAAATCGAATCATGATTTCAAGGATTTTGATAACAAACCTTCAAAATGCCAAAAGTTTTCTGCAATTCTGTCGCAAATCACGTTTCTTGTATGAATAAGTTCAACAATTTCACACAACATCAAATTCTTCATTATATTCGTAAACATAAAAATATTTATTTTTTTTTTGAAAATGGCACATGGACCCTGCTTCTTTGTCGACATCATTTCAGAATCACTGGAAAAAACCTGTAATTTCTAGTATAAAACACACTTATTGACCTATTAACATAAGAATTACTAACAACTGTAAAACATTTTAAGATATTTCTGACATATCCTTTTCATAATTTCTTCACTAGATGTAATGTCTACAAATCAAATACTTTGTAATTTGAATCCCTTCATGTCTTCTTTTCTAAAGATATCTATTTTCTTCTTTTTATAAGCATTTAAATATTTCATCAGAACGTACTGTTCATTTTTTCTTTTTAAATTTTCACTAATTAAATGAAAATACTTTCATAACACGCGAATATCTCAATGACTCATATTTACTAGTATAACAGATTTATCAACTATCTTAAGGAACATAATGAAATAAAATATTTATATATTAAGAGTAATCAAGTATTTAAGAAAATAATAGCTAATTATGTTGTTTTCCATCATGGTTACTAGATTTGGATTAGGCATCCAAAATACAAGTGAACTTTTCATTTCTTACTAAAACCGATCTGAAATTAATTTATTGTTTTTTTATGACAATATACAGGACAAAATTGTAAATTAAAGTTACATGTACATTTATAATAATAAAACATGTTTTTTGCGCACGCGATATGCCTGATGTCACAATAGCCGTTTCACTTCTAATGCTGATACAGATCCTGCAGGGCTTATATAGAACCGGTACAGATTTATATCACAATCCTTTTAGATAAAACCTTGCAAAAAATTACTTATGATATTTCTTGTATTTTTCATTTTCTGAAATTGGATACAAAAATCCACGCAGTGATTATATTTTTTGTATTTGCCTCTGTAAATGTATTGTGTGTTGTTAATTAAAATACCCTTTTCCATTACACGCCCTGTATAAGCCTCAAGTCCTCTGCTTATTGACAAACGAGTTATGAAACAAGAATATCAGCAATCTTCATTTTGTAACTTCTATGGTCGATATGACCTTGTCTGCAAATACACATATCAATGAGTCAAATGCTGACTGATGTTTTTCATACTTAATGTTAGGCCATTACATGTATTTACACACTGAATTGACGATGGATTTTTCCGTTATTTCACAATCATGACAAGGAGCACATGGTGGGTGTGACCGGTCGGCAGGGGATGCTCAGTCTTCCATGGCACCTGATCCCACCTCTGATGTTTCGGAGGTCCGTGTTTGCTCTACTCCTATTTTGTATTGTTTTATGAACTTTGATATATTGAATACTGTTCGTTATCTCCATATATTTCATTAGTATCTCGGGCTTATACAGGGTGCGATATGGAAAAGTATTTGTTATTCCCTATTTACAGTCTGTTCGGATTGAGTTTCACAAACAGACCTCAAGACCATAAACGGAGAACAGACTAAAGTCAAAATTTTCAATTAATATAACTTTTGAAATAATCTTGATAGGAAAGCAAAATTGTCATCATATCCTTAAACTGGAATATCATTTAAACCTGCAAACTTTTAAGCTCACAAAATTAAATTAACCCAAGATACAATGGTTTATCATCTCACTACTAGAACACGACAATGAATTTCGTACATTTCAAGCAATTAGACGGTAAGATTGTGTGTGATCATCATCTTTGTCACTTTTTTGTATATAATATTTTTCTGTATATCTTAAGTTGAAGCAAACTTGAAGCAACAAGAGAATTTTATCGATTTTACCATACATCATTTTATATGAAAAAAAGATCAGATGAAGTAAACCACGTAGCACCTGATCTAGTTAATATTATGATTTTTTAAAGACAAGTAATGTATTCTTATAGAAGCAAGAACTTGCTAAACCATAAAAATCATGTCCCTCTATCATTTATTACATTTCAATTTTTCTCTGAAACACCTGAGGTATAGTGTATATTGAATTGCAAGCCGGATTAAGCAAATAGGATTTGAAATACAATAGAACAAAATACCATCAAATCACTTTGTTTTTTTTTTACATTGAACTTTCATTGCTTATGAAATAATTGACTTATATTTCCTTATTAAATATATATCTTCATTGCTGTGCTACAGATCTTTCTTTTACCATAACTGAAAAAAAATCTACCAAGTTTGTAGAGGTTTTGTCTAAGCAACATTCAATTTTTACAGATGTTGTGAGTTGGTACATCTCTCCATGCCTTTTTCTTCGAAATTGAAATAAAATCTGTACCCTCTTTGAGATGTAGAGTGCGGTTTATACTGATAAGCTGGCAGATTATAATGAGATACTATATTTATTTATGCTAATTTAAATCTTTTTGTTGAAGCAGTAATTATATTTTAAGACCACCTGAGATAACCAAGTAATCTATAAAAATCCTTTTTGTATGTTGTTCCCATTTTCAATATTTTTAAATTCTATATTCAACTTTTTCTCTGCAACCACTAGTAAGGAATCGGCTAATTTTTCCTTAATTCCTTTAAGGTAGGTCCGGGCTTTCAAATATTTCTGTCAAACTAATATTTTTTTTCTCCTTTGAATGCCTTTCATAACTCATAAACTAATTAAAAAGCCCATAAAGGACATGCCTTTGCACGCTTATTTTCCTACAACCTGTCTCAGAGTACATATCCCTCAAAATTCAACGGGTAAAATTTAATGTAGAAAAGCAGGTCTCATATTATATTATCTTATACACCAAAACACATCTTATTTAAATCAAAACTAAAGAAAAAATCAAAATATTCATTTGCTAAGAAAATTTCTGTTTATTTTAACGGGAAAACATCAACAAATTGATGTTGATTATGTACAAATCCTTCAGGGAAAAAAAAGTCGCATAAAACCTTAATTTTGCATAATTCTTCAAGTATGAATTTTTTACATGCCATTTTTTCTTTAGAATATTAAGACTTATATCTAAGGTTACCAGTAACACATATTTTATTATGGTTGACCAGATAAATTTTACAAAACGCTCTTTTGAACACGTATACCCCAATTTGGGTATATCAAGTTTTAAAAAACCTGTAAAAAAATTTTAAAAGATGATATAGTCTTAAAATTAATCTTAGATTTTAAGTGAATTTGAAAATGCTAAAGTTTTGGTCCATGCAGACAATAAAGAATTTTGTGATTCTGTGTGTTAGTACGAGGGCTGTTCAATAAATAATGTCCTGAACTGTATGACATACAATATAGATATCATATGACATTAAGCTTGACTTTTTCACATTATTGAATCTTTTATGAATTTATAACAATTTATGTGACCACTTTTCATCACGTAGTTCCATTGTGAGAAGATGGAAAAACAAGGGCTATTCGAGACACTGCATGTAAAAAGAATGGTAAGGAATCAGTAAACTAGAGTGAAATTAAACGCTTCATTCAAGCTGCTGTAACACTCGTTAAGAATCCCAAAGAAATATTCACTGAAATATGTAACATTTACGGCAACCAATGTCTGTTTTATAGACAAATGAGCAGGTGGATTTAAATGATAAAAAATTATATAATGGGCATCAAAAAAATAGGTACCGTCCTTGCCAACAAAAATTATAACAACTCCTGTACTGTTTGCCAATTTTCAACAAATAATCACTGATGATGTATGATTGACTTTAAGACACATAGCAAATTTGATAGACATAATTTCGGGAGTAGTTCACACTATTTTAAAGAAACGTTTGACATTAAAAAGCTTAGTACTCAAAGGTCACCCTATGTTTTGAAAAATGAGTGAAAACGACAGCCTGTAAGAATATCTTATAGCAATTATTTTTAAAAATGAAAAATTGAAGTTATCCAAGTTTGTTTGAAATTCAAACAGATAATGAAACTTGAATCTATTGCTTAAAACTCTCGAAA